TTTGTCAAATGAGCAAAAACATAGATGCTCATTTGTCAAATGAGCAATCAAACATAGATGCTCTTTAAGTGACAAGCAAAATTTTTGCTTTAACCAGCCTAGAAACTACATTTAGTCAGTAAACCTACTCTCGCATGCTTCATACCCATCTTACATTCCTCCCACCTCATTCCAACCCCAAATCTATCCTCAAGTGCAGTGGTAATACCCTACAACCACTTGTCATCCGAAACAAAATCAGTAGACTTAAATGAGTAAATTCCATTTACTGCAAGACCATAAATGACAAAACAAACATGAGAGAATGAGTAATTATGGAGTACATTTCATTATATTTATTCTTTGATATTAGATTTTTTTCTATTATTAAAGCTTAATTTCAAATGAATTAAGCTTTTTATACACATAAACAAGGCTAATAATGCTTTTTTTTCCTGAATGCAGCAAATTTGTCATAGAGATCTTAAGCTGGAAAACACTCTCTTAGATGGCAGTTCAGAATCGCGTCTAAAAATCTGCGACTTTGGCTACTCTAAGGCAGGGAAACTCCTCTGAATCTATCATTTTGTTTATAATCAATTACTAATCATGACTAATCTTTGTTAATTATAATAGTTTGTAGTGCTACATTCTCAACCAAAATCGACGGTAGGAACACCGGCCTATATCGCCCCAGAATTCCTTTCCCGAAAGAAATATGATGGAAAAGTAGTGTAACAACTAGTGAATAGTGATAGAGCGCTCTAGATTGCAATAAAAATATAAACATCTACATGTGTTACAGAGATGTAATATTTCAAGCAGAAAAGCTCAGTAAAGTCAGGAGATTAAACGAAATTCAGCAGGTTAGGTAGACTACATGACATAAAGGTGAAATTACACATCATGGAGGACCTAAATTTAGAGAAAATAAAACTAAAAATTACTTGATAATTACTCAAAAACAAAACGAAAAAAAAAAACTAAAATCAACAAAAAAACAAACTAAAAGATAATCGACACAAAGTAACCTAAAATTAATGAGCTAAAATCAGAACAAATTAAACGAAAAGCAAAACGAAAATCAAGCAAAAATCGCAACAAAACAACATAATATCGCAAATACAAAACCAAAACAAGAACACTTAGTAAAACCAAAATTCAGGCAAAATAAAACTAAAATTTACTGGATAATCACTCAAGAAAACGAAAATAAAACTAAAATCAACAAAAAATAACAAAATAAAACATAATCGACACATTGCATGTTAAAATTAATGAGCTAAAATCAGAAAAAATTAAACAAACATCAAAACGAAAATAAAACAATGAATGTAACCTAAAATTAATTGAAAAACAACAAATGTATAAACAATAGACTCACATTAACGAAAAATTGATGAAAATTGAAGAACTTGTGATGAAAAATCAGAGAGCAGCAGAGTAGAACACCGTAGAATTGCAGGAAGAGAGAGAAAAATGAGCGAAAAAGAAGAAGGAGGAGAGAGAAAAAACGTAGGAAATAAATTTTGAAATAAATTTGTTTTGTTTTGTTTGTTTTACCGGGTTGTATTATGATCCAACGGTTGTAATATGTATATATATATATATATATATATATATATATATATATATATATATAGGATCATATGAGACCACCCCCCTTATGTGAGAACCCTATTTCATGTGAGAACATATTACAACCGTTGGATCAACTACATCCAAGGGTCATAATACAACCCAGTAAAACAAACAAAACAAAACAAATTTATTTAAATTTATTTCCTACGTTTTTTTCTCTCTCCTCCTTCTTCTTTTTCGCTCATTTTTCTCTCTCTTCCTGCAATTCTACGGTGTTCTACTCTGCTGCTCTCTGTTTTTCATCACAACTTCTTCAATCTTCATCAATTTTCGTTAATGTGAGTCTATTGTTTATACATTTGCTGTTTTTCAATTAATTTTAGGTTACATTCATTGTTTTATTTTCGTTTTGATGTTCGTTTAATTTTTTCTAATTTTAGCTCATTAATTTAACATGCAATGTGTCGATTATGTTTTATTTTGTTATTTTTTGTTGATTTTAGCTTTATTTTCGATTTCTTGAGTGATTATGCAGTAAATTTTAGTTTTATTTTGCCTGAATTTTGGTTTTACTAAGTGTTCTTGTTTTGGTTTTGTATTTGCGATATTATGTTGTTTTGTTGCGATTTTTGCTTGATTTTGTTGCGATTTTTGATTGATTTTCGTTTTGCTTTTCGTTTAATTTTAGCTCATCTCTGATTTTAGGTTAATTTTCGTTTACTTTGTTCTGATTTTTGATTGATTTTGTTGCGATTTTTGATTGATTTTCGTTTTATGTAATTTCTCAAAAATTTGTAAAATGATGTTTGTCTAGTATCGGAAACAACAATTTGTAAAATTGATAAATAAATGGTGATAGTACAGTAAGATGCTATCAAAACCAAAAAAATCTATTTATTTCTAATAGAAACATAGCAGCAAAGCGCTAATCCTGAAGGTGTAACTACATTCTGATGTAGCCCATATTGTTCTGACAATCCTCTAGTATTGTATAAAAGTAATAGCTCCTCTGCTTCTTGTCCAACATTAACTCAAGGCTGGAAATTAGGTAATGTTATCTTTCGATATTCTTTTTGTGATCTACATTGTTAAACTGTCTGGGTTTTGGATGATATTTGAAAAGGTCTGGAGGAAGGCAGCTAAGTCAGCCCCGTAGATGATTCTGTGATCAGCTGTGACATTCACCTGCACAAAACATTTAACAGCTTGAGTCAAATTATTCAAAAAGCCATCCAAATATGATCTTGTCTGCTGGACCCTGGAATGTTAAGCTGTTAGGATTTCATGTATGAGTATGTTAAAACCCAGGCGAGAGTAAAATTTGGAAAATAATTCTAGTCGTCATATGCTCAAACTGTCAAACACTTATTTTCAGTAGCACAACCTTAATAGCAACAATACTATTGCAGACAAGATACATTGCTCAAAAATTTTGCTTGTCGCTTAAAGAGCATCTATGTTTGATTGCTCATTTGACAAATGAACATCTATGTTTTTGCTCATTTGACAAATGAGTATCTATGATTTTGCTCATTTGTATAAAATTACCAACTAATTATTTACTTTTTTTTAATTGTTTTTGCTCATTTGGGAGTGTTGAATGTGTTATATTATCTAACCAGTAAAGTCGATGGTTCCAAGTCTTTTGTAAGGTCCTCCATGATGTGTAATTGCACCTTTATGTCATGTAGTCTACCTAACTTGCTGAATTTTGTTTAATCTCCTGACCTTACTGAGCTTTTCTAGAGCGCTCTACCACTATTCACTAGTTGTTACACTACCTTTCCATCATATTCCTTTCGGGAAAGGACTTCTGGGGCAATATAGTCCAGTGTTCCTACCGTCGATTTTGGTTGAGAATGTAGCACTGCAGACTATTATAATTAACAAAAATAAGTCATGATTAGTAATTGATTATAAACAAAATGATAGATTCAGAGGAGTTTCCCTGCCTTAGAGTAGCTAAAGTCGCAGATTTTGAGACGCGATTCTGAACTGCCATCTAAGAGAGTGTTTTCCAGCTTCAGATCTCAATGACAAATTTGCTGCATTCAGGAAAAAAAAAACATTATTAGCCTTGTTTATGTGTATAAAAAGCTTAATTCATTTGAAATTAACCTTTAATAACAGAACAAAAATCTAATATCAGAGAATAAATATAATGAAATGTCCTCCATAATTACTCATTCTCTCCTGTTTGTTTTGTCATTTATGGTCTTGCAGTAAATGGAATTTACTCATTTAAGTCTATGTTTTTGCTCATTTGACAAATGAGTATCTATGTTTTTGCTCATTTGACAAATGGAATTTTTACTTTTTTTTTAATTATTTTGTATGAGCAGGAAGTCTATTGAAAAGGAGCCTGCTGCCGATGTTGGTTCATCAGGTGCTACTGCCAATGTTGTTTCAGCAAGGCCTGCTGCTAATGTTGGTTCAACAGGGCCTGTTGCTGATGTTGGTTCAGCAGGACCTGATGTTGGTTCATCAGAGGTATTAGTTGGTACTAAAGTTAAAGGTAAAAAGGTTGAAAAAGGATTGAAAGAAAAACAAAAGATTAAGTTGGAGGAGACGAAATCCAGCAACGAAGGGGAAGATTTGAAGTCTCATGTTTATAGGACATTACATAGTCGGATGTCCCCTTCATCCATAGTTCAAGTTATTGAAAAATGTTCAGAAAATCAGTTGAAAGCTATTAGAGCAATAGGATTCGGGTCTATGGAGTTCTTGAAGGTGACTTAACTGCCTTTGCAGATGGGTTTATGGTTGGTTCATCACTTTGATGCTAACACATGCTCTTTAAACATTCCAAATTCTGAACCTTTTTGTATCACTGAAGAGCATGTGCATCAAGTACTTGGGCTGCCAATGGGTGGCATAGAAATGGACAAAAATAATTTTTCCTGAGATAAGAAAGTGATTCAGCAATGGAAGAAGCAATTCAAAAGAAACTCACTCTCTATCAAAATAGGGGAGCTGAAAGAATTTCTGAAAGAGCATAACTCAGCTGGTCTTATGTTCAAAAGGAACTTTGTAGTGCTATGCGTTTCTACATTGATGGAGGTAAACTTTTTATTTTTATTTTGCTTATTTTTAGTTATAGTTAGCACTTAGCAATTGTGTGCTATATATAGCAATTATATTATCTAAGTTGTTGGTCATATATGTATAGAATCAGTTACTTGAAACTATACATCATTAGATAGAGACTATTGACACTTTCAGAATAAGATATATATATGTGTATTTATCTTTTGTTCTATGTATTTATCTTTTAGGCTATCTAAGTAGTTTGTATAATTTGATGGATTATTGTTGTTAGTCAATGATGAGATGGGTGAACAAATTTGGAATAGGATTTGGTACATACTTCATATTAACATACTTGTCAAAAAATTTCAAGTTATATTATAAATTAATTATATCATCAGGAAAAGGTGGAGAGTCAACATCATGGTTTTAAATTTTATAGGAGTTTGCTCATTTTCAATTTTGTTTGCTTATTTATATTATATTTTGTACATTTAAATTTCCTTTTGCTCATTTTTCTTTTGTTTTGCTCATTTTTTTTTCAGGGAAACAAAATGTGAATATCAATTCTGATATTCTCACATTTCTTTCTGATGTTGATAAAATAAAGGACTTGAATTGGTGCAAGTATATCCTTGATTCACTTGTGAAGGCCAAGCTTTTCTGGGAAGAACGTCAAACTTGTTCTTTTCTTGGGTCTTTACTATTTCTTATGGTATTACTTTAATTTTTGTTGTTTTTTTAATGTAGTATTTTTTACTTATTTGTTGATTTTTAATTTACTAATTATTTTTTCTTACTTGTTTGTAGCTATTGTATGTATTAATTTTTATTTGTTTAATTTTAATGTACTAAGTTTTTCTATCTTACTTGTTTGTAGCTTTTATACGTTGATCAGTTTGTCATTGAGGAAGTTAGAGCCAAACGAGAAACTCCAGTTCTCAAAGGTTGGACAACCAATATGTTGTCAAGTCGTGAGAAATTGGAAATTTTTAAGGGGAGGCTTGGAGTTTTTTATAAAAATCAGAAGCTTGTTGGTCCTTCTGGCAGCAAACAACCAAAACTGGTATTTCACTTGTAACCAATAGTTAGTTTTTCTATGTCTTTGGCATTGCTTGAAGAATTGAATTGGAACACATCTTGCTTTAAGGAAAATGATGCAATGTGGTGCTCTTTATAGCACATTAATGGACCTCCTAAATCAGCAAAAAAATAGTTGCTCATTTGTCAAATGAGAAATTATATTTTGCTCATTTGATACTGTGTGATTTGGATGAAAATTACACAATTATGTAATTTTTTTTTTGTTTTTTTTTTTATTTTAGGAACAATCTGATCCAATTCATACAAAAAATGAAGAAATTGAACAAGATCCGAAGAAGGTATTTATATGACTTTTCTGGAAACTTATATTAATTTGCTCATTTTTATATGACTTTGCTCATTTTTTGTTTTTGTTTTTTTTCCTAATTTTTGTTATTTTTTACTTAATTTGTGAATTTGTATTGTTGTTTTGTGAATTTGTTGCCGTGCGATGAAAGAGTAGGGGGTTAAAAGGTTGGGGGTGTGCGAGTTGTTATCAGCCCAATCCCTATCCTCCCTAAGATGGGAAAACCTCCTCATTAACATGTGTAGGTGTTTGCTCATTTGATAAATGAGTAATCAACTATTTGCTCATTTGGTAAATGAGCAAAAAATTGATTGCTCATTTGACAAATGAGAATCTATGTTTTAATTTACTGCATGAAAGGACTTTTAGCTATTGGGGAAATGGATTTAAGGATCCAGGTGTAGTGTTAAATGATGCTCTAATTGTTAGCAAAATAAAACTCTAACAAGCTGATCAAGATTTTGCTCTAAAGTTTGGGACTCCTTTAAGTATTCAAGATGCTCTTGGTTTCTTTCCATTATTATGAATTAATTTTTTTTTTTATTTATAGAAATGCTTTATGGAGCTTGCAACGGAATCTACAAATCTAGTCTTGGCAATGACTGTTTGTGAAAAACATGAAACTGTTGTTAAGTATTTTCCAAACAATGAGAAGATTCAAAAGCTGAAGGAAGATGCAATGACTGTTTGTGATGAGCAGAAGATGAGCTCTAAAGCTTTGACTGAAGATATTCCTCTCTCATTTAGCCAAGATAAACAGTATTGGCAAGATCCAGCTGTAATTGAAGCTTGGGATAGGTTTTCGAAGATTTCAGGCAATGACAAGCATGCTGAATCTACAATTTATGCTAGGGTTGATCATCTGATTGAATCAGAACCAATTGATGTTACTAAGATTGCTGCTGAATGTGTTCACATAGCAAGTGGTATACCTGATGTTGAAGATCCATCTGTTATCATACAGCCTAAGGTTGCTGAACATGTATTTAAAAAACTTGGAGAGTCAAGTACGAGATATAGTTTAAGAAGTTCAGTTGCCAAAGGATGTGGAACTCCTTCATTCAGCTTAGGAATCTCTTCTCAAGAAAATGATTCTCAGGAAAAGTCCCTTGGCATTGCACCTACTGATGAACCTGTAGCTGCTCCTGTTAGTTCACAAGTTGGTGCTTCTAAATCAGTTGATGATGTTGATGTTGTGAATGCTCAGGAAGACCCAATTACGCTTAAGAGAAAAAGAGATACTGAAAATGAGAGTTGTATTCCAAAGAAGCGTAAAGTGCAACCATTGTTGCAGATAAGATCTCCTTTTAAGTCTCGGATTATCAACATATATACACCATTAACAGCAGTTCAGAAAGGTGTTATGGATTCATTTTTTCATGAGAAGAAAAATCGTTTGTAAGTATTTATTCAATTTTTTCAATTCTGGAAATTTTGGCAACTGAATTTATTTTTCTTTCTTATAACAAGTCTAGCTCTATATTCTCACTTTACATATCTACGATTGAAATTATTTTAACTTCCCTAAATCTTATATGTAGTGATGCAGGGTTTTTATGCGAGGGTGAGCCTGATAATGAAGTAATCCTATTTCAACTTTAAATGTTAAAAACTCAGAGCAAAATTCATGGCGATATCATTAATGCATGGTCTACTGTTCTGAATTTTAATGAGCAATATAAAGATGTCAATTCTAGTGGACGTTTCTTTTTCGGTCTTAATGTTATTGTAAGTTCAACTCGTTCATTTTATTTTGTTTTACTTTGTTCATGTTCACTTTTCTCATTTCATATAATTTTTTTATATATGAATGTAGATGTTGTTTTGTATTTGCAAAAACTATTATTAGTTCTTTGCTCATTTGTCAAATGAGCAAACTATTCAATGCTCATTTGTCAAATATTCTTGCTCATTTGTCAAATGAGCAAAAAATAAATACTGAACTAATTCAAGTCTCTTATTGGATACTAAATAACATAAAATCTTTTGATAAAATATTTGAAATACAGAACTAATTTAAGAAATTTGCCTATTATAGTTATCTTCAAGGCATAATCATGTCATGGTTGTTTGTTTGCACTTTGTAGTGTATTGTCTTGCGTTTGCTCATTTATCAAATGAGCAATTAATTTTTGCTCATTTGTCAAATGAGCAATTAATTTTGATAACAATATAAATTCTGACTTCCTTGGTCTGAATCAATGCATAATCAGTGTTTATGAGTTGTATTATGGTCTAATTTTGGTCCTACACAATTCGAATTCTTATTTATGACTTGTATTATGGTCTGAATCAGTGACGAGCTAGAATTCACAGACATGTTGCATCTATAATTCTATATGTTCTATGTACATCCACCACACTGCCTCACTGGATGAATGTGGAGAGCAGGTTGTAAGTGTTCAGAAAATGAGTCCTAGTTCACTGAGCTATTAGGAATTCCTCAATCAAGATTAGCAAATGAATTTTTGTTGTGTGAATTTTGGAAAGCCAGCAAACTGCTGTATTCAGAACTCATGATATATGCCACAATCACTATATATTAAAGCATGAACTATCATATATCAGATCAATCTTATTCTTTTTAAAATATTAAAAGAACAAGATTAAAGCATAAACTAGCATTAGCATGAACTAACTTTCATATATTAAAGCATGACCTCTAATTACATTCGTAATTCTCATGGCAGATATCTGTGTCAGCACAAATGAGGCTGATAAAATAAAGCTTAAACCAAAGGACTTAATTCTTTATGTTTCTGATGCTATCTGACAACTAACATTCTGCATGTTCTGTAATTACATAAATAATTGAATGATAGCAGCAATTAATTCTTTGCTCATTTTCCAAATGAGCAGTTAATTTTTTGCTCATTTGTCAAATGAGCAAAACATTCACTTGCTCATTTGTAAAAAATATTTCAATTTACTCATTTTATATGACTTTTCTCATTTCATATTCACTTTACTCATTTGTTATTTACTCTTTTCATTTATATTCATCTTATTTATGTACTTTTCTTTATGTATTTTTTTAGGATTGCCTTTTTCAATACGAAAGTGATCGTGCTCAAGAAAGGAATAAAATGTTTTGTGAGGTTGTGGAGTTGGAATTCAGCAAAACAATCATCCCAAAGAAATATATTGAGCTTTTCTTTTTCCCAGTATTTGAAAAGGATCATTATTATCTGGTATGTTTTAACACCACCACAGACTGTGGTACAATTGAGGTTATTGATTACAGTGAAGGTCCTAGAGAAAATAAGAAATTGCTTAAAAATCTGGTATGTCTTCTGCCACTTCTTCTTCATCATTAGTATCCTCATTGATGCCTGCCATGTTGTTACCAGATTCCTTATTCATGTCTCCTCTCATTATATCACTGGTACCCTAACCCTTTCGGGATTCTCCTCTGAATTTCTCCTTTCTCCCATAACAAGAAAATACACACACACACTCACGCCACAGACACACACACACATACACAGGCACACACACACCCACACACGCATACACACACATACACACACGCACACATACACACACACACACACACACACAAGCACACATACAACCTGTAATAGAATCTGAAATCAGATTCTGAAATTAGTTTCTGGAATCAGAATTGTGTAATATGTGGGTAGGTTTGTGTGGGTAGGTGGCAGTAATGGCTCAAGATTTTGTTAGATTATTTTAGAAAAATGATTTGAGTTTAGTTGTTTATCTTGATCTTGTTCTGCTTGTTCTAACTATGTTTGTTCCACCTGTTTTTGTTCTTATTTTAATTTATTTGTTCATTTTCAGAAAAGTGCATTTTCATATTTCATGAATGGTGAAAGAAGTATACAAAGTGTTGTTTTGTCAAAACAGATCAAGTCTATGGAGCCTGTTGTGGTTGATTTACCTTGGAAGTCTTCAGATGATAATCATTTACATTGCGGTGTTGCAATGATGAGGCATATGGAAACATATATGGGTTTGCAAAAGTGGAATTCAGGTTTAAAGAAAAATAATGTAAGTCTAACTAGAAAAAGTCTAATTGCAATTTTTATAATTTGCTTCTTCTGGAATGAGAAATCTGCACTTTTTAGATTAAAATTTGTGAGCAGCTTGTTGATATACATTCATGAAGCCATTACTTACCCTATACTTACTCTGAATTATTGCTTCATTTTTCCTCTTTGCAGGACATAATCATTGAAAAACTTCGTTTGAAGTATACCCTCTCAATTATTTCCAGTGAAGTAAATACTGTTAAACAAGTTCCAAAATAAAAAAAAGGCTGAGGAAGCAAGTGATGCTGAAGAAAGCTAGGGGCAGCAATCCAAGAGCAAATAACGGAGAGAATTGAAGACTGAAGTTGATCAATTGTTCTTAGGATTTGTATAGTTTTTGTATAGAACAATAGAAGTGTTAGTTTTATGATGTTCTTAATAAGACAAATGTGATAAATGTTCTTAGTTGATCTAATGTTTTTATGATGTTGTTAGGATTTTCTAAGTATAACTTTTGCTATGTCAATGTAATGGATATCATTTTTTATCTTATTGACTAAGTTGTTTGTCATTTGTTAAATTGCTGATTACCTATTTGCTCATTTGACAAATAAGCAACTAACTATTTGCTCATTTGACAAATGAGCAACTAACTATTTGCTCATTTGCCAAATGACCAAATAAATATTTACTCAATTGACAAATGAGCAACTAACTATTTGCTCATTTGCTAAATGAGCAAAGAAATGTTTCCTTATTTTTTAAATGAGTAACTAATTATTTGCTCATTCAAAAAATGAGAAAACTAATGCTTACTCATTTCACAAATGAGCAAAGAAATGGTTGTTGATTTAATGTATTATTAAAAGGAATGTTTACTCATTTGACAAATGAGCATTAACTATTTGCTCATTTCAACAAAATTAAAAACACAAAATGCTAAATCTTATATTTATATAAAAATATTAACTTTTATATTTGTATAAAAGTATCATTATACAAATATCAGCAAATATCTAGTTAATTTAGCCTCTATGATTTTGAAGATTAGGGTATGTTGGGTTGTTCTCTTTACTGAACTCATTGTATAATATCTTGGATTGGACTATTTCTGTTACCAAGGACATTAGAATAGCTTTGGTATAATTACATGTGTGTATGATAGATAACAGAGCTTGCAAAAAATTTGCTCATTTCAACAAAATTTAAAACACAAAATGCTAAATCATATATTTATATAAAAATATTAACTTTTATATTTGTATAAAAGTATCATTATACTTTGTTTGGACAATTTCTAATATCATGATGACTCAATTCACCACAACCTCTACATAATCTCTTCTTTTTCTGGTTTTGTTCTACAACCTTTTCTTTTTCTCCCTTCATCCTTTTTGCACTTCAACATTTGGCACATCAATCTCAGCCCCTTTCTCTTTTAAAGTCTCTACATTTGATACATGAATTCCAGTCCCTTTATTCTTTGAAATTTTTGGAGGTTTGACAATTATTTCAGTTGGCACACTAGCTCCAATCAATAGCTCAATGTCTTGTCCTTTGTTGTTTGCACTTCCTGTTGTTTCATTATTCCTTGCAATCCTCTTAGCCTCCAAATCCTTTCTTATTCCTTGAAGATTTATCACAAGATCTTGAATATCTTCATCATTGCCTTCTGCCAAACTTACATAAATGTGTATCTCTGACCATAAATCATTTAACAATTTTTTCTTGTCAATTAAATTAGCACATTGCTCCAACAGGTTTCCACCCAAGTCAAAAATTGGTTTTTTCAGTGCCATAGTAGTCCATCTGTATAGCATATACTGCTCTAGAATGGTTTCAAACCTTTTTGCTTTCTAAACCTAAATCATATGTCTACATGGAATTCCTTGTCTATAAAATAGCTTGCAAGAACATGTGGTGTCATAGTTAGTTGGATTAAACACAACATCAAATGTTCTAATCCGATTTCCTTCACTTACTTTTGCAACTTCCAATCCATTTTCTTTCTTCAATTCATCAACACCACAAGAAAAATAAGCAATTTCAACCTCATATTGAAATTCATAAAAGACAGAGTTAGTATATAAATGTGAGGCATGCTTTTCTATCCTTAGTGGTGTTTTGCACTCAGGATATTTGTGCTTTGAATCATTATCATTCTGACCTTGTGTGTGTCTCTGGGCATCAATTGCAGCTTCATATCTCAAGTAAAACTCAACAAGTGACACATGAGGATTGATAAAGGAGCAGAAAAAGTTGTTTTCGCTTTCGGATCTTGATGTTGTACGCATTATTCCTCCAAGGAACACATCTCTGAAATACGCCGGAATCCACTTGTTCCTTATCTTGTACATATAACCTAACCACTCATGTTCTTCCAAGTGGTATTCAACCATCACCTTGTTCCACCTTTCTTCAAACTCAACAGGTTCAATTTCAAGATGCCAAACACAAGCACATAATTTTTTTAGGAAACCAGTTTCTTCTTGCATGATTGATTTCTCCACCTTATCTTGTAACTTTTTCATTATGTGCCACATACAGAAGCGATGTTCAGTCTTATTAAACACACTTTTAACAGCAATTTTCATTGCTGGATCTTAATCTGTAATCATACAATTCGGTTCATTTCCACCCATTGCCTTGAGAAATGATCTGAACAACCACTCAAATGACACTATATCTTCCTTTACTATGAAACTAGCAGCAAAAGTAATGCAGCTCTTATGATGGTCAACCCCAGTAAATGGAGTAAACACCATGTTGTACTTGTTTACACATACAGATTAAATTTTAAATGATCAAATAACTACACACACACATAAATACACAGGCACACGTACTTAGACACAGACACACACACGCACACACACACATACACATACATACACGCACTCACAATCTGTAATAGAATCTGAAATCAGATTATGAAATCAGAATTGTCATCAGCTACTGAAATAATTTAATGCTCATTTGACAAATGGGCAAATAATTGATTGCTCATTTGTCAAATGAGCTTATAACTCAATGCTAATTTGTGAAATAAGCAAACAATTGTTTGCTTTTTTGTCAAATGAGCAAATAATTGAATGCACATTTCTGAAATGAGCAAATAAGTCAATGCTCATTTGTGTAATAAGCAAATAGTTATACTAAGTTCATTTAAAACAAAGTTATTAATTTAAGCTATAGTTATAACATAAAAATGAATTGTGATTTTTATGAATTACCTATTGGTTTGGTATGTGGTATCAAAGGATACCATATCACAAAATAGAGCGTAACTCTTTTTACAAAGGGGATCAACCCATAATGCTCTACAAAGGCAATAATCTTCATCCATCTCAAAATCAAAGAAAAAAGCGCTCCACATTAGCTTTTTGTTGGTAAAGTTATCCACGAACATTTGAGCATCACTTCCTTGAATGTATGCTTTCAAATCTCTATGAAATTTTTTGAAATCTTGCTTAGATTCACTGATGTTATCATATCCTCCAACAATTTCCTTCATCATTCGAAAAGTTGTAACAGGACCAATATTCACCTATTTAAAGAACAAAACAGTTTGTCAAATGAGAAAATAATTTAATGCTCATTTTTAAAATGAGCAAACAATTCAATTATTTGCTTGCTCATTTGAACAATTTAATGCTCATTTTTCAAATAAACAAACAATTAAATGCTCATTTTTCAAATGTGCATACTACTTTTATTAGAACATACAGAGAATTCATGAAACATAAGAGACTTTGAAAGTCGTACCTTAGAATTATTCACAATTATTTTTTTGTGCAATATGTTCATTTTTCTTCCTTCTTTTTGGAAGAGATTGCAACTAGGTGTATAAAGTGGATGAGTATGTCCCTCATAAAATTGTGACACTATGAATTTGTTATCATCACAATGCTTTATGACAATATGTGCCTTGCACCCAACACGAGTAACGAGTCTCTTCCTTTTGATTGAAGTTTTTTCTTCATTGCTTTCTCCTTCGTTGTTATTTAAATCTTTTTCAACAGTAGGCTTTTTTTGCTCTTTGTATCCTTCTTTATTGCATAATATATACTGTGATTTCAATTCTTTGCTTCTTCTTTTCCTTTTAGTTGTAGACTTTCTTGTGTTGAATCCAGCAGCAAATGCGTATCTTTTATAAAATTCAAGGCCCTCTTCAAGATTATTAAACTTCATCCCTATAGCTGGTTTCAAATCATTGGGGCATATTGGAAGCCATTCTTTTGTTCCTCCGGGAGTGAGCAAAGGTGCTACTTTAGGAGAAACTACTATTGTAGGAGTAGTTGCCACATTTGAGATGATACTAGAATGACTGTCAAGTTCTTCATTGTTGCTCATCATTTCTGACATTAAATATAATAGAAATAACAGGTTAGCAACAATTCCATAAAATAGTTTAAGGAAGCTCATTAAAAATCTCATATGTGCTGCTGAATCATGTTTTTAACCATACTAATTACTACTTACAGTATAACTCTTACACTTACTCACACACACACACAATAATTTCATAATCTAAAATAGATCTGAAATCAGATTCAGAAATCAGAATTGCAAACAGAAAGATGAGGGGGGAGGGGGGAATAGGTTTGTATAAGGAAGTGTAAGAAGGGAGTGTGGTTGGTGTACAGGAAACAGACCAAGAAGAAGGGGGGTGGGGCTTGTGTGCAGGCAAGAAAACCATGGAACTCAATGCTTTGATAGCAGAAACTAGATGATTTGAAAAGGAGTAAAATTTGATAATGCTACCCTTCGCTATGATTTGCAAAACCTAGCATATATAGCATTCAGTATAGCATATTTGCCTACAAAAACCATACATTCTTAGACACACACACACTCTCTAACACATGCACTCTTACACTCACTTACACACACACAGTAATTTCAGATTATCACAGCACACAGAAGTGCTCAATCTAAGAAGCACAACCACTTGCTCATTTGATAAATGAGCAACTATATATTTGCTCATTAGCTACAGCTACCTCTTTCACTTTCACTGCTTCTGCAACACATGTTAATGAGCTGAATCCCATTTCTCACCCTCTATCTTACACTGTACAATCACCACCAAACTCTCTCTCCTTCCTCCGCCCCTGTCCCTGTACCTTACCACCACCAATATCACCACCACAACCTGTCTCACTCTCACTCCCTCGCCACCGCCCCTGTCCCCTGCACCCTACCACCACCACCATTACCAACTTATTTTGCTCATTTGCTCCTTTTTATATTTGCTCATTTTTTTTTTGGATTCGCTCAATTTAATTATGTTTGCTCATTATAGGTTTTTTATATTATTACAAATATTTAGGTTTGCTCATTTTCAATTCATTTGCTCATTTTAAATTTGATTGCAAATTTCCAATTTCTCTCAAATTAATCAAACCTAAATTTGATGAGTACAATTACAATTTTACAACAAATTTAAAAGATTAATTCTATGAGTACGACGAAAGTAGTCATACAATATCATACTTTGTATATATATAAAATTAACATTATATTATATGTTTACCTCAAAAATAAAAAATTATCATGCAATTAACATGCAATTCAATAACCTGGTGATTGATGCAATTAAATATGCAAATTAATAAGAACAGAGCAAACCAAAAAATCAAAAATTATCATCCAATTAACATGCAATTCAATAACCTGGCGAATTTGATTTGTAGCAGCGATTGCAATCGCGATTAGTAATATAGCGCAAGGCGAGCAAGGTCGGTGTGAACTTGCTTATGATTACTTTGATGAAGCAATTGATGAAGCAATTTGAAGCAATTCAAGGCGAGAAACATCGTTACTGATTAGGCGTCATTGATGAAGCTCGTGGTGGAGAGAGAAGTTAGTTAGCTAGGTGGAGAAAGATGACAGTTAGGTGTGATTTTAGGAGTTTTATGTGATTAATCACATGCGTTGGATTGGATACAATTTGATGGCTGAGATTGGTTCTCACATATAGGATGTGTTCTCACATAGAAGGTGGTTCTCACCGGATCCCGACCCTATATATTTATATATATATATATATATATATATATATATATATATATATTGAAAAAATTGAAAAATGAAAAATACGAGAATCATGATAGTGAATAGCCATCGAACTACTTCCCTGTGCCCCTATCCTTAATGGTAAAAGGTTTTGATTCAATTTCGATTGAAATACTTGCATTGTGGACTAAAAGATCATGATTTGACCTTGAATTTGTTGATCCCTAGTAGGAGTCAAAGCTATTTAACCATGTATGTTTTAGGAGCTTGACTGTGTTAACTGTGAGGCTTGAACCTTATATATTCATTCATGTGTGTGTTTAGTTCCTGGTGTAGCATTGATCTTAGTTTTGATTCTAGACTCTTAGTAGTGTGTCGTAATGCATTGCATGTGCATGTTGAAATGATGAAGGCCATGTTCATTAGGTGACCTCCAGAGGAATTTAGAACATCCGTTCCCTTCTTGCTCACCCATGTTGTAGCTTGACTATATTTTTCATAAACTTCACAAAAATTACCCCTTAGCCCCAATTTGGTTACTTTTCCCAAGTCTAGCTTGGGGGAGCTATTTTATGCGGTATTTTGTGTGATTTTAATTTCAAGTTGCAATTGATGAGAGAAAAAAAAAAGGAAAAAAAAGAGAGAAAAGAAGGAAAACTAGCATGGAGGTTTGTTGAAAAAAAAAGAGAGAATAAATCGAAGAACAAGGAAAGAAAATCTCATACTTAAAATGAAGGAAAATGTCTTTATTCTCGAGAAAAATAAAAGGAGAAAAAAAAGAAAGAAAAAGAGAAAAAATGTTGATGAAAAGAAAAAATTGAATAAAAGGAAGCTTGAAGTTAGAAAGAAATATGAAGAAGTAAGGGGTGTTTTTATTGCAGTTGGGTTTGTGTTTTGTTGATTGAAAATGGTGAATCGAGGTGTGACTCATTGCTTTTGATAGCTCCCCGATTACACTAATATAGCCCACATTTCCCAAATTATTTCTTACCCAATATTCTTATTCCCGGCCTACGTTACAAGCTTGAAAAAGTCCTTTCGATCTTCATGCATAGCATTGTGTTCATGTGAAACGAGTCTTTTGTCAAAATACTGGAGTATATGTTACATTTCGAGTCAACATTTGACTAGGTTGAGCGATATAATAACCTTCTAAACACGCGAGTGTTGTGAGATGGGGGGATTGCATTATTGTTGGGGATGGTGAGAGATCGAGCTCATTTTTAGCTCGCCACATAAAAAGTGTGTTGAGTGACCACCGATGTGAGATATTCTAGTCATCGATTCTTGAAATATACATGGTTGGTCTCGTTTGACAACTAATTAGGTGGATCGATGGTATGAGTGATTTGATTGGTTGGCTAAGATGCATGCTTGTTCGATTTCGTTTTTGAATCCGTGTTTTGAATTTGCATTATGGGGTGAAGTATGTTGTTTGGTTGTTGATTATTTTTTGTTGTCTTGCTTGAGGACAAGCAAGAGTTTAGCTTGGGAGAATTTGATATACACGTTTTATACATAGATTTATCCCGACTTTTCATTACATTCTTATATGGTTTTAGGCTCTTTAGAGCCATTTTCCGCTAACATTCTCTTCTCTAGTGTGTTCGGTGTATTTTTATAAGTTTTACAGGAACTTGGAGTTTCTCGGATGATTCGGACACGTTTTAAGCGTTTTGGAGATGTTACTGGACAAGGATGTAAAACCGAGCTAAACAAGAACCAAGTCTTAGAAGAATTTGCAAGCAAGGAGCAGTTTTTTATACTGTGCCCGGTCGGGCATTGCAAGCCCGGTCAGACCGGGCACAAAAGGACTTCATGGTTGATGTTAATATTGAAGCAAAGAAGCTGATTTATGGTTTTATCCCACGCGCCTGATTGGGAAGCTCATGCCCGGTTGGATCGGGCGCGTGGTGGCTGAGATGTTCAAAGCTACGAAATCAGAAGCAAGGAAGCCAGCGAAGAAGTGTCCCTCGTGCCTGATCGGGGGCCATATGCCCGGTTGGATCGGGCGCTGAGGAAGAATGCAAGGAAGAAACAGTTGCTTATTTAATCCCACCTGCCCGATCGGGGTGTTATTGCTCGGTCTGACCGGGCAGTGTATTGCGATTCCGGTTTTTATTATTTTTCGAATTTTTATTTCATTAAGGGTATAAATACCCATTGTAATTATCATTAGTTCACTTTTATTATCTCCTTAAGTTTTATTTCTCTTTCTAGAGCCCTAATTTCATACTTTTTAGCAATTTAATTCCTAGGTTAGATTTGGGTATTGTTGATTAACAATTTGAGTAATTTCAATTGAAGCATCATTGGTATTCATCTCTATTCCTTTCTCTTTCAATTATTTTTGTTTTCAATTATGTTTCCTTGATTATTATTGTTATTGCTTCTTTCAATATGCGTGAGTAGTTTTCTTATTCCAAGATCTAGGGTAACCCAATTATGATTGATGCATGAATTAATTCTTTAAATTCTCTAATGACTATTGCAACTGTTATGCTAAACTGATTGTGATTATGCCAATACTAGATTAGAGATAATTAGTAGTGTTATTATTCCATAGTTTCAATCACAACGAGAGTTGGGTTTTAACGGAATTGAGTAAATTAATTAAGGGTTTGAAATTCATCACGAGAGTAGTTGAATTGATAATTGGGAAGTGAAGTAAGGTGTTTAATGTCTCTAATTTGCATGATACCATGAGAATAGGCTTGATTGTGGGTTAGGGAAGCCATTGATACTCGAGAGAGGTCCTTGGTATTGGTTAGGGTTTGCTTTTCCCCGTGTTAATTGGAATTGTATGTTAGGGGTAGATATATAATTGCATCGATCGTAATTGTGGTGATACTTGATCTTGGATGTTTTAGCTTATTGATTTATCATATTCGTTTGATTTATTCTAGTTTTCCATACATTAGCTTTTAGTTTATTCCATCATTGTTTGATTCTTGCTTGGTAATTACTTGAGTCTAAATAATTTAGGTGAACCTTAGTCTCTGTGGGATCGACCCTGACTTACCCTACTACATAATTAGGAGGAGTAGTTAGGTTATTTTTGTTAGGTGTGCGACCGCCTATCACCTCAAAACATTGATCAAGAGGGCGGCTTGGTCCTCCGTTAGATTAGAATTGATGATTACGGAAAAAGACTCATTAGCATCAAGATATGCATACCTCAAGCCCAAAGGTAGAGGTTTCAAGTCTACCTTTGGTGCTCCCTTACCCTTGGAGTCCTCTTCTTTCTCTTCCACTTAAAAGAAGGCATGAGTAAAAGTAGTCTATTCTTATGCTTGCATTGTTGCATTCCTCCTTGCTTTCTTCAAGCAAATCCTCATATAATTGCATGTCTTCTTTATGATCACCTATCTTAAAATCATTCAACAAAACACTTTCAAGAGGATCATTAGTAGCATGCAAATGAGGATGGTAAAATTCCTCCATCAAAGATTCAATCACATCAACTCTATAGCATTCACTAAATTAAGAAGGTTGGTTCGTGACACTATTCAAATCAAACTTAATGGACTCACTATCAACCTTCAAAGTCATCTTACCATCTTTCACATTGATGATGGCCTTAGAAGTAGCAAGGAAATAAAGGTCTATCCAAAATGATGGGGATGCTCTCATCTTCATTCATTTTCAACACATAAAAGTCAATGGGCCAGGAAAGGTGAACTTGCCAACTCTAAGAGGGATGTCTTCCACTTTCCCTATAGGCAATTTGGTAGAACGATCGGCAAGTTGTAGAGTGATGTTTGTAGGAGAAAGGTTGCCTACACCTAGCTTTTGGTAAACTGAGAAAGGCATAAGACTCAAACTTACACCTAAATCACACAAAGAATTCCCAAGATGGACATCATTAACCAAACATGGGATAGAGAAACTACTGGGGTCCTTCAACTTTGTAGGGAGCTTGCTAGAAAGAATAGCACTACAATTGGCGGTAAGGTTAACGGTCTCTACTTCTCTCCTACCATGCAAGAGGTCCTTCAAAAATTTAGAATAATGGGGCATCTCTTTCATGGCTTGAATAAATGGTAATTGATCATGTAGACCTTTAATAACCTCCAAAAATCTCTCAAATTGAGCATCTAGCTTAGACCTCACAAAGAGTTGTGGAAAGGGTAGCTTCTCCTCTCTAGGTTGGCGATTTAGGGGGAAAGGGGTAGCTTTTTTTGTGGGATCTTTCTCCTTTGGTTCAACAACATCATTTTCTTTCTCATTTCCCAAAGACTCATTGGTTTTCTCACTCTCATCCTCAAGATCAACTTCCTCCCTTGATTTCTTCTCAATGTTTGGCTCACTCCCTAGAACTTTCCCACTCCTAGTGGTAATGGAATACATGGGATTAGGGTTCAAACCTTAACTAGGAAGGGCATGAGTGGAAGAAGAAGAAGAGGGGTTTGATTGAGCAAGTTGAGAGATTTAAGTTTCCATCATTTTCATGTGGGCCTTTAATTGCTTCTTCTCTTCTTCTTGACTTCTATTAAAATTCTCTTGACTTTTAACAAAATCTTCTTGGCTCTTATTAAAAGTCTCTTGATTTTTAATAAGAGTTTGGAGTAATGACAAAGGATCGGAAAGTACCTCCAATTTAAGAGGTTGTTGAGGTGGGGGAAGTTGGGGTTGTTGGAAACCCGGAGGCCTATTACGTTGGGCATAATGAGAAGTATATTGACTTTTATTTCCTCCGGTGCTTTGGATGGAAATATTTCTTTGTTTATTGTTTCCCATGTTACTTTGATCACCAAAACTATGATTTTGATTGTCATAGTATCGGGAGTTGGGTTGATGGTTTTGATTTCCATAACCTCTTTGGTTAGGGTAGCCTCTTCCATTTGGATTGGAAGGGCCTCCCCCACCATGATATTGGTAATCATAACCACCACCACTTTGGTTCCAACCATGGTTCCAATTTTGATTCCAATTCCCCATTTGATTAGGGTTTAGCCTCATGTTCTCCATATTCCCCATACATGGGGCAAAGTTCATAGCATTAACGTCTTCCACATTATCATCGTGTTCTTGGGGAGGGTTTGAGTTTCACAAGAGTAAACACATTGACATGTATCATGATCATAGGTACCACAATTAACACATAAGAAATATCCAGGAGGCATTGTATTGTAAGAAGGAGGGGAAGGAGTATTCATATCATTGCCTCCCTTGGTAGAAGGGGAGGAAGCAATCTGGGTTTGGACTTTCATGAGCTCTTCCATTTGTTTTGCCATCTTGGTCATTTGAGAGGAAAGATTGGTGATGGCATTAGCTTGCTCCAATGGATGAATCGTTCCCTTGCTTGAGGTAGCTTCACGCTCTCCTTCATACCATCCTCATAATTTCGAACCACATCCTCTATGATGCGCTCCACTTCCCCTTCTCTTTTGTTCATTATTGGGCCTCCCGCACCAGCATCCAAACTTGTTTTGCTTTGAGGTGAAAGTCCACTATAGAATGTTTGAAGAGCTTGGTAGTTAGGGATGTTATGATAGGGACATTGTCTTTGAAGTTCTGTATATCTCTCCCAAGCTTCGCACAAAGATTCTCCACCTCTTTGACGGAATCCTTGAAACGAGCCTTGGTGGTCTTCTTGTGATTATAGAACCGTCCCAATAAAGCGGTGGTGACTTCATTCCAAGTTGTGAGAGAACCGGGAGGGACATCCTTCTTGAGCTAATGTTCGGCCGCACCCATGATAGAGAAAGGGAACATCTTAAGACGAATGTATTCTTGAGAAACACCATTTGCCTTTATGGTATCACAATACTTGAGAAATTTCTCGAGATGCTCATATGGATTCTCAAATTTCCCACCCGGGAATTGCCTCTTCTCAACATAGAAATGAAAGTAGGCTTGATCTCAAAGTTGTTTGCTTGAGTGGTGGGGGCTAGAATCCCACTTTGAGGTGCATAAGCTTCGGAAGTTCCTAGTTGCTTAAGAGCTCTATGGACTCCCATGATGTGGGGTTGCGCACACTCGAACTCAAAGGTTGAGAAAGGATTGATTTCTAAACTTGATGAAGAACTAGGACTATCTCCTTCTTAACTTGATGGTGAGGAAGGTGGAGTTTGAGAATCTCTCACTACCTCTCTTGTAGGGTTATGGGAGTTTCTACTCCTTGCTCTTGCTTCTCTCCTTAGCAAGGACAAAGTCCTCTCAAGCTCGGGATCGATAGGGATCAAAGACCTTGAGCGGGTTCGTCCCCTGTTCATACAACAAAGCTAAGAAGAAAGTAAGCACTGACAAGTAACAATAGTAACACAAACAAGCGAATAAAAGATGAGATAGACTTAATAAGGTAATGAAAAAGTAATGGAAGTTGTCTCTCCGGCAACGGCGCCAATTTGATCAAGGATATTCTAGGTCGTTGAAACTAAAACACCTTTAATCAAACCCAAAATTTATAACCTAAACCTAAGAACTAAACACATGCAAGTCTAGCAGTAAGTCGAGAGTCGATCCCAGGGAGAAGCTAAAACACCACGTTCAATACCAACAATCAAGCTATCTAGGAAAAAGGAGAAAAGCTATCTAAAGATACTAAATAAGAATGAAATGAACTAGAAGCAATGTAATTAAAGCACTAAGGGAATGGTTTAGGTAAGAATTCACTCAAGCACAACAAGACATGAAATAATCAAGTTTGAATGTGAACTAAGCATCTCATATCAATGATTTTAAAGTACAATAACGCATGATATGTCATACTAAAATAAGGTAAATTTGATTTAAGCATACTAGCATAACAACATGTGGGCTTCAGTTGCTCTTAGGCCGTTCTTTTGAAAATTTTGGCACGACATATAGCGAGTTGGCTTGATCATGGATCAGACATGACAAGATGCACAACCAAATTCGACCTAAAACCATAATTACTATTTTTCATTGCCTCCACACTTCCATGCCACTGCTCCACCAAACGCCATTATATTCAATTGAATTGCACTTTCCTTTTTATTAAAAAAATAAAATAAAAATTGAAGCAGCCAAATAAGACTGGCAATTATTTGTGGTACTAACAGACTGTAGTAGTCAATACTTGACTTCTAAGAGAATATTCCATGATGTTTCCTTACACCAACTAAGGGACTACTAGTAAGCATTGCACCAACTAAAGTGAACATTTATTAGTGGTTTTAGCCTTGTGCTCTCAAATGCCTATAAAATGTTGGACATCTAGATAATGTTTTAGAGCTTTAATCATAGTCCTTATCAATTTTATCCAAGAAAATAAAAAAATATGGCTCTTCCATTGGTATTTCTGTTAGTCCTTTCCATCCAATATCATGCACATTTACTCTCAGCATCCGACCCGGATCCTATTGAAGACTTCTGCTTATCCACCGGCGGATCCAAACCCGGTGATACGAGCTGCATGAACAACAATGTAACAGTGGAAGATTTTATTTTCACAGGCATAAAATTGCCAGGAAACTTCACAAACACAGGTTTCACTTCAAAACCTGTTAATGCCAATGTATTCCCTGGGCTAAACACCTTAGGACTTTCGTTGGTGCGAGCTGACTTTGGCGTGGGTGGTGTTAATGTTCCACATTATCATCCAAGAGCTACAGAAATCGCGTATGTTTTGGAGGGAAAAATTTATTCAGGATTTGTTGACACTCAGGGAAAAATATTTGCTAAGGTAATTGAGAAAGGTGAGGTGATGGTGTTTCCTAGGGGTATGTTGCATTTCCAAATGAATGTTGGGGAGTCCCCTGCAGCTATTTTAGGGAGTTTTGACAGCCAGAATCCCGGCTTGATGAAAATACCATCAACCATTTTTGGGTCTGATATCAATGAAGAGCTTCTAGAGAAGGCTTTTGGGTTGAGCTCAAAAGATCTTCGAAAATTGAAAAAAAAAGTTCAGCTCATCCTAAGTTTTTGATAAAATTCTGTAATCTTTATTGTACTAATCTTACATATTAATATTGTATTTATTTACTGATGTGTCCATGAAGATGTGCTGTTACATTCTGTTTTCATTGAAACTATAGGAAATTCATGTTTTTCTTATATTAACATGAAAGACCACCATATTATAGCAATTGTCATTCTTCTAAATGATTTAATACTTGGGAAAAACCCATTAAATTGAAGGCTAGGACTGTGATCAAAACATTACCTTCAACATTAGGTGATCAGAGTTATAATGACAGGAATTTATAATTCCGGAGGATTAATTAGAGAAACATTGATTCACTTGGCTTACAATATTGGATAAATAATTGCCATTGACTAGAGAATTGCACTTAGCATTTCATTCCAAGCATCAGGAACCCCAGGAAGGCACCAATGACTGCAGTCAGAGTTGTGTTCTTTCAGGTTTTGGTTTATTTCTTGTGCCAAATCCCTGCTGTACACCGAGGGGTGTCCATCCCTTCGAAGACCAGATATGTTGGTAATATCTTGCAGATATACCGGAAATCTCATCTTTCTTAGAACTTCTTTGAGGATCATAGTAGGTCCTGCAACATGAGGGTGGCTGAAATATAGTAGAGGCTCCTTTTGTTTGTAGCATTTCCAGCCATTTTCCCTGCCATAGTAAATCGACTTAATTAAACTATTGAATTGAAAAGGAAGAAAACAGAGTTTAATACTTAATTAGGCGAGTAGGGAAATATGTAGACGCCAACTAGCTTAGTTGGTAAATTATCAAGGGAGAAGGATCAAACCTCGTCTCTGCCACAAACCTTTGTGGCTTCTTATGATCTTGGTAATATAAATAAGCATTTAGTTGATGGATATACCTGTTGTGTCTGGGTGACATGCTGCGAAAAATGACCCGAGTTTTGTGAGGATCTAAATTTAAATCTACCCATTTAGCCCATGTTGTGAGTCCTTTCTCGTAGGCAACCATTGGATTCAAATTGCTGATAATTCTGTTTTCTTCCATGAAATAATCCCACCTACAAGCAGTTTCAAACTTGAGATTTTTAAGTGTAATGTTACAATCAGAATCAAACAAAGTGTGGCAAACAAAGCAGAATATCCTACGCTCTAGACTTGACTGAATGTGTCCACCAGTGTGCTGAATCGAACACAAGTATATCGACTCCTCTCCAATACTTTGCATTATCTTCAATCATATCAAGATGTAAAACTCGCTTATGCTGAGGACTTCTTTTTAGTTCTACTAGTAGAGGCGCCCAAGAAAACTCAATCGACGTCTCAAAGTCCTGAAATCAGTCATTTGATTTATAGAATGGACCAAACAATGTAGCTTAGAAACGAAAGTAATCAAGTCATGGAGCTATTACCAGGGCATGGAAGGCCATTGTAGGACCATTGTATGTCACCCGTTTTCGGCCAGTTGGAATGACTCCTTGGACAAGGCAAACAAGAGACTCCCATTGGTTTCTCATTATTGAATCTCCAACTAACATTACTCTTTTTCTCCTCATCTTTCCCAGGAAGTGAAGTGCATCAAATCTTACATCAAGTAAAAAGTGGCATCAATAATTTTACAGCAGGAAATTGTAGCAGTTGTACTCCAAAAACTTATGAGTATAAATTATGACTAGTTGACACTAGCATTATACAGCTTTACCACAAATTTGTGTACAAACTCTATTAATATAAAATCAACTTCTTTTTTCTTTTTTTTTGGTTTAACCAATGTTATTTTTCCTAGAAAATCATCACATTATTTTTACCTTGTTGTCAAACCAGTGTGCACACTTGTGTTTTACAAGAAAGCAACACACATTTCAGATCAGAAAAATCGTCTTACCTTGTTGGATAAAAAAAAATCAAGAAAATTCACTACGACAATGAAATTTATCATACAAATTCACATGATTATAACTCTAATCACCTAATACACATGAATACATCAAATAAAAGTCATTCCAACGCGAAATTGGTTTTTTACATGTGGAACTACATTTGTTGTATTAGCAAGTCTTGTGTGTGGCCACTTATGAAAAAATAAAGTAACCCCTATAACACTGACCGAGTAATCCTATAACACTGACAAAATAACCCCTTTAAAACCGACCAAATAACCCCTATTACACTAACGAAGTAACCCTTATATAGTGGCTGGCCACACGGTGTGATCAGCCACATATAAGAATTTGTGTTGCTCTATACAACATCATTCCCGTTATGTAAACGTTTTTGCCTTTTATCTAGCCATAGCTGTAAATGTTAACAACAGAAACAAGTCTACTAGGGGAATTTTATTTTTTTTTCTTTTTTTTTTCTTTTTAGAAATGGATTTAAAGTACTTAACCTACTTGTAGTAATATAAAAATTTTACTAGTATATAAACTTCATTAAACATGGAACTAATTTAAGGGGAATAAACAAATAGAAGAACAAACAAAATAGCAAACAGAAAATGTAGTTAATTACCTAGGAATAGAACACTTAAAAGGTTGCCATCTCCATTTTTGATAATCCGAATCCGGGCGTCCATTCTTAAGGCAAGTTACAGCAGTACTAAGATAAGGGCAGCTTGAATCATAGAGAGGGTACGATTCATCAAACACCCATTTCCCCAATGTGAAGTCACACGATGACTTGCCTCCTGCCGTGGCTCGGTTTCGGGTTAGGGCCATGTTAAGCTCGCTAGCACTATAATCCTCATTCAGCCATGCCTCTTCTTGAACGTCATCATAATGATCTGAAAATGATGTTACATGATAAATGCTTAGGGAAATTATGAACATAAAACATAACAAAGACTTTGGTGTGTCAGTTACTGTCATTTTATTTATGTTTTTTTTTTGTGTATAAGTGAACAAGTTTTGTGCTTGTTTTCATGCAAGTAAAAAACACATTGTTAAGAAGAGATCATGCTATTAATTAAGGTCGTCTCTTTTGGGTGCAGAAGGTAGTCTCTTGTCTCGCCTTTCATTGCGGTGGAATTGGATGGCAAATTTATTGCAACTTTTGTTCTTGATTACATATTATGGTCATTTTTTTGGGGTGGTAGGATCGTGGTAATTGTTTAGAAAAATAGAAAAAGATTAGGGTGATTGATAGAGTATAAAACATATTATTCTGCCTCAACCATCAGCTTAATCTTTTGGTTGAGATGATGCTTTGACATGGTATCGGAGTCATCGTGACAATCACCTTTAAGTGGAGTATTAAGCGCTGGGTATGAAGAGGGTCCATCTTGCATCCACACTTCAAGCCCAACGGGCTTTCGTGTAAGGGGGCGTGCTTTCGTGTAAGGGGACGTAATAGAGTATAAAACATAATCATGGGCCTCAACTTCAACAGTGATGTTAATTATCCTCATTTCAAGGGTAGTTAGTCTAATCAAAAGTATGGAAAGAAAAAGTATTAATATGATTATGATAGTTGTCTAGTGACTCAAATGCTTCTAAACATAGCGTAAATAATCTGCATGATAAAAATAAGGGAATCTCTTCATTCGCATATAAATGTATTTTAATTTTATACAATTGTTGAATACTCCATATAAATAAGTTAATTATTCTTTCTTTTTTCGAATATAACACAATCATAAAATATAGTTGGTGGTTAATATTGTGACCCATCCAATATGTCAAAAGGGATGGGAACTTTATAACCCACCACCTTGTTAGATTAGTGTCGTTTGAAGTTAAATAAATTTGGGTTAATCATTGTCCTTGTGAGATTACTCTTTATGTTTTGTCGGACTTTTTGTCACTTCTCTAACGTTTCCTCAAAAAAAAAATTCAAAAAAAAAATATTTTCTGTGTAAATAGAGCCAAGGGCAATATTGTAAAGGTCTTGTATACCACCCTAATATTTTAAATTTTTACTAAGTTAGGTAGGTGGCATTTAAGGTTAACACATGAGATTGAAACAAACTGAAATTTGTTCCCCGTAACTGAAGGATTAAGTGGGACAATGCTGAATTTGTAAATTTACAATGTCAAAAAGCTAACGAGTCAAAATGATAACAGGCATGTTATTGCTGCTTCAAGGCTGTAGCTAGCCCTTCACCTTTATGCCCCTTGTGGATACAATTCATTTTTCTATGTAATAATTGTTAGGACTTCGGATTACCTTCAAATGACCAATAATATTAGGTAAAAGAATGTAGAAGGCTGTGAGTAAATCTCAAAAAAAAAAAAAAAAAAAAAAAAAAAAAAAAAAAAAAAAACCTTATATATTAAAAAGCGTTCCTAAAAAGGTATATATGCCACGTGGCACCCTCGCTATGTCATTTTTCAACTATGAGCATATTCTAATGAAAATGTCCATCATGAGATTTGAACTCACAACCCCCAAAATATGCATTTGAAGTCTTACCATCTCATATATTAATTAATACTGCTTTTATACTCGATTCATAAATATATATATATATGGATTGGATATCTGAACATTTAATGACTGCGATTCTTAAAAAAATCGATTCTAATATTTGCTAATAATGCTCGTCGATGAGATAATGTAAACAAGAAAAATTGACTATTGTTATAAACTAATTTTAGTTATTTGATTATTTTGATAATAGTTATATCTTTATTTTCATTATATTAATTATAAATTATACACAAAAGACATGCATATATATATATATATATATATATATATATATATATATATATATATATATATATATATATGTTGAAGACAAGCGGGACAACTTTCATTAAATCATATGGAGATCAACCAAAGCTTGAATGAATTTGGGGGAACTCATTCGTACAAATACGCTCTGAATCAACATTAACATCCCACCTAACAAATAAGTGAGCTACCATGTTACCCACTCTTCTAACGTGGATACAATGAAAGAAATTAAACAAAGAACTCAGCCTATAAATGTCCTCTAGCACACGAAACATTGGACTTGCACCAACTTGTTTACATTGAACAGCTCGCATTACATTCACAACATCCCCATCAAGCACCACATTCATATAGCCAAGTCAATAGTTGTTCCATAAATAATTTGTTTAAAGGTTTAATGAAAAATATTATATAAATAAACAAATAATGAATTATTGGAATAATAAAGATTGAACTTATTTATTTAATTATAAGTGTTCAAAGTAACAACCCGGAGCATCGTCCGGGACACACACCAGTTATACTATCAAAATAAGAACGAAGAATATTAAGAGACTACGGGAGTAATAAATAGGGGCCGTTTGGTTTCACTACTAGAAAACAGTCGATTTCCGACGGAAACGTTCCGCGGACACTTAATTCCGTCGAAAAAACCGAAATTTCCGACAGAATTTAATTCCGTCGGAAATTTTCGACGGAATTAAAAATCCGTCGGAAAATAAGTAATTTCAAACGGATTTTAACTCCATTGGAAAGTTCTGACGGATTTTTTCTATCGGAATTCTAAATTTCCGACGGATTTTCCCTCAAAATTCCGTCAAAACATTTAAAAAATAAAAAATAAAAAAAATAAAAAATAAATAAATCTAAACCCTAAATTTTATGAGAGCCGCCACCCCCTTATTACCCCCTCTCCTTGTTCTTTTCCCTTTCTCTCTCCTCTCCTCTCAGACTCTTCTTAGTCTCACTTTCTCTCCTTTTTAGTTCTCTTCTCCGCCCTTTCACTCATCTCCTCTTCGATTTCTTCTACCCTTTCACTCTCCTCTTCGATTTCTTCTCCCCTTTCACTCTCCGCCATTTCTCAACGAACGAACACCATCAACGAACACCAAAGTCAAGGTTTACACTTCAAACACCATCAACTAAAGGTTTTTCATGTCAAATTCGACCATGAAAATTCTAGATCTAGAGTTTTCATGGTCGAATTTGACCTTTAAAACCCGAATTCGCCGTTTTTCCGGTAGAATGTGAGATTGTGAGGTATGTCTTCTTTTTTCATCTTTTAATTTGGTTTGGATTTTTTTTTCTTCTCTATTTTTATGGTGGTGTGATTAAATTGCAGTGGTAGTGGGTTAGGATTTGGTTGGAAGGGATGAGGGGTAGGTAAATAAGGTGTGTTGTGGGTTGTGGTGGGTGCGGGTTGTTGGTGTTTGTGGGTTAGGGGTTTCGGTTAGTGGGTTGTGGGTTAGGGGTTTCAGTTAGTGGGTATTGGAATTAGGCGGGTCTGGGTTAGGGGTGGTGGTTGGTAGATCTGGGTAGTTTTTTGTTAGGGTTCGGTGGTGGTGGTGGTGGGTTGTTGGTGTTTATAGGTTAGGGATTTTGGTTAGTGGGTTGTGGGTTAGGGGTTTCAGTTAGTGGGTTGTGGGTTGTAGTGGTGGATCTGGGTCGTCGTGGGTTGTAGGGGATTCGGCGATGGTGGGTTAAAGTGGTTGTGGGTTATAGTGGATCTGGATTGTGGGTTAAAGTGGGTTTCGGTGGTTGTGGGTTAAAGTGGTTAGGGGTTTCGGCTGTGGGTTATGGCGGTGGTGGGTTAAAGTGGCTGGTGGTGTTCTGAGGTGGTGATACGCCTTGCCGGTGGTGGCGCGACGTGTTTTTTTTTTTTCAATATACCAGTTTTCGACGGAATTTTCCGTCAGAATTTTCCGACGGATTCGTATTTCGTCGGAAATTTCCGACGGACTTTTTCGGTGCCGGAATTCCACTTCCGACGAAATAGTTCCGACGGAATTCCGTCAAAAAAGGTCGTTTTTCCTACAAAAGGTTTTCCGACAACTGGTTCCGATGGAATTTCCGTTGGAAACGGATTTTCCGACGGAATTCCAGGTTATTCTGACAGAATTTTTCCATCGAAAATGACCTCTTTTCTAGTAGTGTTTGCACGGGGTAAACGGAATGGAATGAAAAAGGGGAATGGAATGGAATGGAATGAAAATCCCTCAAATGTAGTATGTTGTTTGTTGTAAGAAAAACAATGGGAATCACCAGATTCACCACCACCACACCCAAACAACCCCCTTTTTCTTCACTTTCCCATTCACCGTGGCTGGTTGGGTGTTCGAGGAGGCTGATCGGGCTGGCATTGCTGTCGGCGACCGAACCCAGCCCCCTAGCGCGCCTGACACCGACGGAACCCTAACCCCCTACCGCGCCTAACTCCGACTGCACCGCTACCGTGGTTGGTACTCTTTCTTCACTTTCTTCTCAGACGGAACCCTAACCCCCATCCCTACCCCTCGCCGCCCATCCCTAACCCCTCGCCGCTCAGCCCTAACCCCTCCAACTACACGGTGGTCGACTTAGAAGGGTTTCTAGGGTCGGGGTGGCATTTTTGAGGAGAGCGGGTGGTGTTTTCTAAGGCTGTGGTGGTTGGTTGGCCGAGCTGGTTGGAGTGTTTATGGTGGCTGGTTGAGGTGTTCGAGGAGGCTGGCCGGGCTTACTAGGTGGGTTTCCGGTGAAGGGTGGGGTGCCAAGGAAGGCGGTTAGAGGGTGGGGTTGCCGGTGAAGGATGTTGTGAGAGGTGGTCATGGAAGAAGGACGAAGGAGTTGGTCATGGAGGAGGAGAGATGAGAGAGAAAGAAGCAAGGGTGGGGAAGGGAATGGAAAAGGTAGGGGGGTGGGGAATGGGATCAGAAGCTTTTTGGGTATTCAAAGGGGAAAGGGAATGATAGAAATGGGTAAACAAACACCAACAAAGGGAATGATTCCCATGGAATCCAATTCCCTTTGATTATTACTGTGAACCAAACGGCCCCTTAATCTACTACTTCCTCTGTCCCTTTATTTTTGCCCCATTGTCACATTTTGGGTCAAACTTTGTAAACTTTGACCGTAAATTACCGTTAAATCACAAGAGATAATATAGTCATGAGTAATCTTGTAAGATTCAACTCATTTATATTTTATTAATACCACGTTTTTTTTAATTTTTACGTGTATGGAAATGAAGATATGTGTGTTCTAAAACGCATCTTGAAGACCGTAAAAAGTTAAATGGGGCAAAATAAATAGGGACAGAGGGAGTACATTTTAAGTATTACATATCATAGAATACTAAATAAACTCTTACACAAATATTATGAAAATCAGCTGCTAGAAATTATTGTTTAAGCAACATTAATTGAAAATTAATGATTATTATTCAAGAGCAAT